TTTCTCTTTATTATGCAGTATTCAAGACATGTAAAAAGATACAAAGACTAAGAGAGTGACAATCCAGGTGTCACTGTGCAGGTCAGGAACAAAAGCACTAAACACACACTGTTCCCCTGAGTCTCTTCCTCCAGCTTTCCCACCTCCCCTCCCAGAGGTAACCACACCCTGAATCTGGCATTTATCATTCCCATGCACGTCTGTAAACTTTGCCACACACATGTACATGTGTATCGAAAAGCAATAGATGGTACTTTGGACTTCAAAAAAATATTCCATAAGTGGTTTTCCACAACATTTTGTTAGCTCAGTATGAAGTTTCTGAAATACCCAAGTTGGCAAATGTATATCCAGAATGTTTATTCATGTTTCACTTCTGTATATTACTCCCTTGTATTAATACACCATAATTTTGTCATTTATTCTCTTAGTGATGGGTATTTAGTTGTTTCTGCTTTTTTTGGTATTGCTAACAGTGTTTTAATGAAGATGACTGCAGAATTCTACTTTTACCAATAAATTCCTGCAAGTATATAACAGGAGTAGAACTGCTCGGCCATAGATCTACATAGCTTTGTTTTTCTAAACATAGCCAAATTATTTCCCACAGTGACTATCCCAAATTATACCCCTATCAGCACTGTGTAAGAGCTCCTGTTATGCCATGTACAGGACAACGCTAGACACTGTTTGACTTCTCCACTTTGCAAATCTGATAGAAGTGAAAGGTACCTCCCCGGGACTTAAATTTGCATTATCCTTAGCATTCTTTCAACTTAGGAAGTGAACAGGGCAAGCTGTTGGTCTCGCGGCACCTCAGGTTGCTGTGTGCAAAAGTAGAATAATTAAATGATAAGATCTCACTCTAAAGTTTCTTGGTGTCTGTAAACACAGAGTGAGGTTTCACTTTTGGCTAAGGGACTCACCCTCCCAGTCCGCCCTACCCCTGCTCCAAGTGAAGACATTCTAACAGTGGTATTTTTGCATAAATATTGTTATTACTTGGGATAGTAATTTAACAGCCTAGGAAGGCTTGTTCTCATAAGGACTTCAGCTCAGAACCAACAGGTACAAGACAGAAACGTTATTCTTCTAGAAAAAAGGAATAAAATAACAATTATAGACTGTGAAAGGGTAGCCAACATGCTTCTTTTAGAACCATTCTGAAGTTTGAATTATATGCAACAGGCAAAATAATTCAGTCAGTCCACAGCTGCATTTACATGGAAATTTTCTGGTAGAATTGCCCAGCCCAGACCCTTAGAAAAAAACAATTTGAGTTCAGTCTACTCATAAAATTGCTCTCTCTACTACAAAGATGACTTTAGTAACTAATAGGATTCTTCTATGGCATACAGGTTTTAATATTGGGATTCAGGGCAGGTTTCATCTGGACTTAGAAAACAGAATTCTTAATCACGCATTTCTTAGTGTACAAGTCTATTATCAGATTGGGTGGTCAAAGAATACCTCATAGTTGCATTTTCAAAGGTTATTGTAAGATGTAAGATTCACACGTCAAAAAACATATATTCTTCACAACCAGCTATTCAAACACAGGGGTTTTAAGGAGCAATTCAAAAGCCAGCAGGGACTTATGTATGAACTACTAGTATCAAAATGCAAGTGGAACTGGCATAATGGCATAAAATGTCAAAAAAATGCCTAATGATGATATTTTCAACTCTTTCCTTCTCCACATGGTAGACCAGGATATGGAGCCCTTAATACGGCTCATAATTTCCAAAGAGCACATGGGCCTTTTTCCTACAGACTAGGAAGTCTGGAGCTACTGGACAAAAAGCAGAAAAGAGGAGGCATGGAGAATATGCCTTAGAGAAAAAAAAAAAAAAAGTAGGTATCTGTTAATGAGCAGCAACAGAGAAAAAGAGAGTAAGCTCTAAGCTGAGATATGTTCATATTGACCTAAAAAGATATACACGTCTCCAGTTACAGCAACAAGTTGGGAAGGACAGAGTGCCCTACGTGGGGCTCACTTACCAGCAGTGTCCAGGTGAGGAAATAAACAAAGGTCATGAGGTATTTTCTTGACAGGCACTGCGGATGGCAATCTGTTGATAAAGAAAATGAAACTGTCACGGGTCACAGACTTTAGAAGAAACTATTACATTCCAAGGTCTTTCGATAATTTAAAGTAACTATTCCAGACATCTACTATAAGGGCACGATAAGATAGGATGTGTATAGAGGAGCAACACGAATTAAGACCAGGTAAAAAGACCAGGCCCTACTCCAGACATCCTGAACCAGAAATTTGGGGATGGGGCCCAGCAACCTGTGTTTCATAAGATCTCTAGGTGACTAATATATGTAAACTGTGAAAACTGCTCATCCCTGGACCCCAAATTTAGTAGTGATGAATTCAAATTTGGGTTCAATCAGGGGTCTATGATTAATCTCTCTACCTCAATGTTATGCAACTAACATAGAGTCAGGTTACTAACCCAACACACTACACTTAGAAATCAAAGCACAAAAAGCACCCACAAAACTGTTCATCTCACTTAAATAACAATGCAGTTATTCTTCAATCTCATTTAAACTCGAATACATGAAAAATGCTGTTTTCATTTGCCTTCTCATCCATGTATTTTTATTTACTTAAGAAAACGGAATCACTCAGCATGGAATGTACATTTCAGTGTATTTTAAATACGTTTCAATATACACAAAGTGTTATCAACGGTGACCAGTTTTCAAAAACATCCCGCCTGCACCTATACACTTTGCCCTAACACCCTTTCTCCGGGAGATTACAGTTGAAACGGGGGGTAACCTGCATTCACTAGTGATGTAGTGACCACAGTTTTTTTCATGTGGAATCTAGTTTAATCTTCCTAAAGCCCCTGAGAAATAGTTATTTTGCAACGGGAGATTACAGTTGAAACGGGGGGTAACCTGCATTCACTAGTGATGTAGTGACCACAGTTTTTTTTCATGTGGAATCTAGTTTAATCTTCCTAAAGCCCCTGAGAAATAGTTATTTTGCAAACGAGGGCACCAAGATAGAGAAAAGCCACCTGCTCAAGCTCACCCACCAGGACGTGGCAGGGTCAGAGTCAGACTGAAGTCTTCCACCTCCCAGGCAGGGTCGTGACTAGAGAGGTGGGTGAAGGACAGAATCTGGGGTGGGGGACAGGACAGCACGTGTAAACTTGGTCATTAAGAATCGCTAGCACAGAGCCATCACTACTGGCGTGTAAGTTTGGAGTATTTTTCAGGTATGCTGAGGTGCACTAAAATGTGACAATGACAATCTAGACT